TAAAAACAGATTGTTTATTTTGCTTGGATTATGATATTTTTAAATATAAAAATGAATTTAAAACTCTTTTAATTTATTTGATAGCTTTTTATTTGTTTTATTTTTCATTCTTATTTTATTGTGCTTGTGTTTTTTTTCTTATATTATTGTTAATTTAACTCATTTTTTATATTCAACTTTTGTTTTATTAATAATTGATTTATTTTTTATTTTTTCATACATTTTCTTCATTTTTTCTTTCTAACTGGCTAATTACTTAAATATTTTTTCTTTAATATTTAAAAAGTTGTAGTTTAATTGGTGATGAAGGAGCATCAGGCTTAAGTTCTGCTTTAGTAAATTGCAATAATCTCTCAAATTTGACACTTGATCTTAGGTAAACAAATTTTTTTGTTTTTAATTATGATATTTTTAAATTTAAAAATGAATCATAACTCTTTTAATTTATTTACTGGCATTTTATTTGATTTCTTTTTCATTTTAATTGTGCTTGTGTTTTTTCTCTCTATATTAGCTAATTAAGCTCATTTTTTATCTTAAACTTTTGCATTTATTCGTTATTTATTAATTAATTTCTTATTATTTTATATTTTTTCATCATATTTTCCTTCTAACAAACTAATTAATTATATATTTTTTCTTCAAATTTAAAAAGGAGCAATTAAATTGATACAATTGGTGCATAAGGAATAGGTTCTGCTCTCAGAAATTGTGCTAATCTCTCAAATTTGACACTTGATGTTGCGTAAAAGCAGTTTATTTCTTTTGGATTGCTATATTTTTTAATAATAAAATGAATTTAAAACATAAATAAATTTTTTAAAATTTATTTATTAGCTTTTTATTTGATTTTTCTTTTTTATTCTGCTTATTTTTTTTTATTTAATAATTTAAAATATAAATTTTTAATATAAAAATTTTATTCTATTTAATTTTTTTTAGTAATTCACACTAATTTATATTAAAAGTAAAAACCAAATCAATGAGTCATAATAATTGAAAGTACAAAGTTAATGTCTTAATTCAAAAAGATTAGTTGTCTTTGAAATATATTTCTAATGATGTTTGATAAAAAGTGGTGAAAAAAGGAATAATAATAATTATAAAATATTTTTTCATTAGAATATATTATCTATCTTTTATTATATAAACTTTGTAATCGGAAAATTTAACCTAAAATATAGATGGATAGATTTATTATTATTTTTATATTTATGAATATCATATTTTCATAAGTTAATAAAATTTTATTAAATATAACAAAATTCAAAAATTAAATTCAATTAAATAAATAAATAAATAAATTCTTCTAAAATCAGCTCTGAATTTTTCCAAAAATGATCAAATATTTTAATTTTATTATTTCTTATTCTACAAATATGAACAAAATTAAATCAAATTTCACAATTAAAAAAATGAAAAAAACAATTAATTATTTTTATTTTTACTATTTTTATATATGAATTTTTATAAAGAGATAATTAACAAATTCTTTTGAGTTAATAATAAATACTCATAGGTTGAAGAATTTATTGTAGGATAGAGAAAACTATTGGTAAAAGCAAGTATAAAAGCTTATAAATTTTGCCAAAAGATAAGCAGAAATTTTATCAATAAATAAATTAATTTCAAGTGCTCAAGAAGATGGTTTGGCTTGCAAGTTATAAAAATATTACAAAAAAAATTTTCTCTTTGATAAATAAAATCTCAAGCTATTTGGATATATATTAACATTAGATCATCAGATATATCTTGAAATATAATTTTATTCATAAACTTTAAGAGTTTGTTGATAATTAATATAATAAAAAATATCTCAAAAACTCATAAATAAATTTAAATTAAAAATTAAATTTATTTTTTTTGTCAAATTTTGATAAAATTTATAAAACTTATAATCTTAGATGATTCAGGCAATGTTACAATAACTGATAATGGAGACTAATTAAGAAGATAAAATAAAAACAAGAAATAAAGAAAAATTATATGTAAAGTGTTACCTTGATTATGTATTTGGTACACAAAATGAGTTAAATAAAATCTAGACTTGACTTACTTTTGATTAAATACTTTAAAGTTCAATTCAGATTTATTTATTACTGCTGGCTGAGACAATCGTTGGTTTGGAGAAAATTAATTACTATAATGGATAAACCTTATTATTCTAAGACATTGCCAAAAGGCAAGAAATGATTACTTTTACCTGATAATTTAGAGCATACTTTAAATGAAATATAAAAGCTTATTAACACATTAGATTTAATTTTATTTAAATTCTCTACAAATTATACTTTATTTTTATAATCAAATGATTAGAATATTAACATATATATCTGATAAATGTATTCACAGTTAAAAAAATCCGATTTTAAAAAGTAAATTGGTTTTTAGTAAAAAGGAGGCAAAAAGAAATATGCCTTGCCATATCTAATAAATAAAACAAGTAAAAAATAGAAGAGAAGTTTAAAAAAAACATTTTAAAGAAAAAGAAACCAAGAGTAAATAAAAATTATTTTTATAAAATTTAAGAACAATAATTACTATAAATAATTCTTTCAACATATGACTGATTAACCATCTCTAATTATTAATACATTTTTAAGCAAACGTTTTAAATAGAAATATTAAGATTAAATAACAAATATTACACTAACTAAATAACTCTTTTGTATATCTTACTAAAAGCAAATTTATAAATTGATATTTCATAGTTATAATAATTTATTAATTCTTTTTATCCACTTTTGTTGAATTAGATTTTCATTAATTTCTATTCAATAGTTTTGAAAAAAAATATATGATATAATAGATTTAAGAATATTACAAATTAGAAGAAGTAATTATTTATTTTTTAATGAATACTCTTTAAATTTATATTTATTAATAAAAAAAGTTTTTAAACTCTTCATTCGAATCTCATTAGGTTCTCCATATTGATTTGAGGTATATTTAATTTATAAATAAATATTATTAATATATATTAATGTTTTTTATTTTTAACTTTCAATTTATTATAATTTTATATTTTAATAGATTTTAACTTCATTTTCATTTTCATTTTCAATTTTTAATTATTCATTTTTTATTTTTGCATTAATCTCTCAAATTTGTTTGCAACTTAATCTTATGTAAAAAAAGTTTATTTGTTTTGGATAATAATATTTTTTTAATATTTCAACTAATTTAAAACAATAAAACTTACTCTTTTAATTTAATTGATAGCTTTTTTTTTTTTTTTCCTTTTATTATTTTTCTTTTTTTTTTTATTATTTTTCTTTAAAATTTTTTAATTTAACTCATTTTTCCATTTTCAACTTTTGATTTTATTATTAATTATTATATATGTATAGTAAGTACCCTATGTTACTGCCTAATTTTTCAAGGTACATACAAATAAATAAAAAAATATGATATTTTTACTTATAAAAATGAATTGAAAACAATATGACTCTTTTAATTTGTTTATTAGCTTTTTATTTGATTTATTTTTCATTTTCATTTTTAATGTGCTTGTCTTTTTTTTTCTTTGTTAATTTAACTCATTTTTTTTATTTTAAACTTTTTCTTTTATCATTTATTATTTAATTCATTTGTAATAATTTCTCTTCGTTTTTTCCTTCTAACTAATAAATTAATTAAATATTTTTTCTTCGATATTTAAAAAGAGACAATTAAATTGATGCAATTGGTGCATAAGGCTTAGGATCTACTTTAGCAAATTGCTCTAATCTCTCAAATTTGATTCTTAATATTAGGTAAAAACAGTTTGTTTGTTTGTTTGTTTGTTTTGGATTATAATATTTTTAAATATAAAAATGAATTTAAAACAAGAAAACTCTTTTAATTAATTTATTGTTTTTATTTTATTTATTTTTCATTTTCTTTTTTAATAACCTTGTGTTTTTTTCTTTCTTTAAATCTTTATTAATTTAAATCAATTTTTTATTTTTAACTTTTGGATTTATTTATTATTAATTAATTAATTTCTTATAATTTCATAACTTTTCTTAATTTTTTCCTACTTGCTAGCTAGCTAACTAACTAATAATATATTTTCTCTTCAATATTTAAAAAGTGACAATAAAATTGGTGCAATAGGTTTTTCAGGCTTAGTATCCGCTTTAGCAAAATGCACTAATCTCTAAAATTTGGCACTTAATCTTTAGTAAATACAGTTTATTTGTTTTGGATTATGATATTTTTAAATTTTATAAATAAATTTAAAACAATAAAACTCTTTTAATTTGTTTATTAGCTTATTATTTGATTTATTTTTAATGTTTTTGGGTTTTTTTTTCTTTTCTTTTCTATCATTGATAATTTAAATCATTTTTTTAATTCTTAGCTTTTGCTTTTATTATTAATTAATTATTTAATTCATTTTTTATTATTTCATTTTTTTTTTCCTTCTAACTTACTTTTTAATTATATTTTTTTTTTCAATATTTAAAAAGGTAGACTGCAATTGGTGATAAATTAGTATCAGGCTTAGGTTTCACTTAAGCAAATTGCACTAATCTCTCAAGTTTGACATTTAATATAGCGTAAATATATTTTATTTGTTTTTGATTATGGCGCTTTTAAATGTAAAAATGAATTTTTAAAACAATAAAACTCTTTTAATTTGTTGAAAGCTTTTTATTTGGTTTATTTTTATTTTTTTTTATTAATGTTTTAGTATTTTTTTTTCTTTTCTAACTTTGTTAATTTAAATCATTTTTTTAATTCTAAACTTTTACTTTTGCTTTTATTATTAATTATTTATTTAACTCACTTCTTATTAATTCATATTTTTCTTCATTTTTTCCTTCTAAATAACTAATTAATTAATTATATTTATTCTCTTTAATATTTAAAAAGTTACAATTAAATTGGTGATAAATTTGCATCAAGCTTAGGTTCTGTTTTAGCAAATTGCACTAATATCTCAAATTTGACACTTAATCTTAGGTAAAAACAGTTTATTTGTTTTGGATTGTGATATATTTAAATATAAAAATGCATTTAAAACAATAAAACTCCTTTAATTTATTTATTAGCTTTTTATTTTCAACAAATGTAAATTTAACTCATTTTTTTTAAACTTTTGGTTTTATTATTAATTAATTTATTTATTTATTTATTATGATTTCATAACATTTCTTAATTTTTTCCTACTTGCTAACTAACTAACTAATTAATTAATTATATATTTTTTCTTCAATATTTAAAAAGGATGAATGATATTGGTGCAAAAGGTATAATAGGCTTAGGATCTGCTTTAAAAAATTACACTAATCTCTCAAATTTGACACTTTATCTTAGGTAAAAACAATTTATTTATTAATTAGCTTTTTATTTTATTTATTTTTCATTTACTTTTTTAATATGTTTGAGTTTTTTTTCTTTCTATTTTTATAATTTTAACTCATTTTTTTTATTTTGAACTTTTGCTTAAATTATTAATTAGATTGTTTCTTATTATTTCAAATTATTTCTTCATTTTTTCCTTCCTTCTAATTTACTATTTAATTATATATTTTTTCTTCAATATTTAAAAAGTGGAAATTATATTGGTGATGAAGGTACATCAGGCTTAGGATCTGCTTTAATAAATTGCATTAATCTCTCAAATTTGACACTTGATCTTAGGTAAAAACTGTTTATTTGTTTTAGATTGTGATATTTTTAAATAAATTAATTAATTGATTTGTTTCTTATTATTTCATATTTTTCTGCATTTTTTGCTTCTCAATAATTAATTAATTAAATATTTTTTTTTTCAATATTTAAAAAGTAACAATAAAATTGGTGCAAAGGGTACATCAGGCTTAGGATCTGCTTTAACAAATTGCATTAATCTCTCAAATTTGACACTTTATCTTAGGTAAAAACAGTTTATTTGTTTTAGATTGTGATATTTTTAAATAAATTAATTAATTCGTTTCTTATTATTTCATATTTTTCTGCAATTTTTGCTTTTCTCAATAATTAATAAATAAATAAATAAATTATATATTTTATCATCAATATTTAAAAAGTGGGAATAAAATTGGTAAAATTGGTTCATCAGGCTTAGCTTTTGCTTTAGTAAATTGCACTAATCTCTCAAAATTGACACTTGATCTTGAGTAAAACAAGTTTATTTATTTAGGATTGTGATTGTTAATTTAATAAAAGTGAATTGAAAATAAAATAACTCTTTTAATTTGTTTATTTTCTTTTTATTTGATTTTATTTTTTAATGTGCCTTTGTTTTTTTTTACTATTTTTATTAATTTAATTTTTTTTTTTTTCAACTTTTACATTTATTATTATTAATTTCATATTTTTCTTCAATTTTTCTTTCTAACTAACTAATTAATTTAATATTTTCTCTTCAATATTTAAAAAGAGACAATAAAATTGGTGATTAAGGTGCATCAGACTTAGGTTTTGCTTTAGCAAATTGCACCAATCTGTCATATTTGGTACTTTATCTTGCGTATAAAACAGTTTATTTGTTTTGGATTTTGTGATATTTTTAAATATAAACATGAAAAATAAAATAAAACTCTTTTAATTTCTTTTTCTTTTTTATTATGCTCATGTTTTTTTTCTTCTATATTTGTTAATTTAACTAATTTTTTCATTTTCAACTTTTACTTTTCTTATTATTGATTTATTTAATTCATTTCTTATTTTTTCATATTTTTTCTTCACTTTTTTCATTCTAACTAATTAAATATTTTTTTCTTCAAAATTTATAAAGTTAAAATTAAGTTGGTGATGAAGGTGAATTAGTCTTAGGTTATGCTTTAGCAAATTGCACTAATCTCTCAAATTTGAGTATCTATCTTGCGTAAAAACAGTTATTTGTGTTGAAAAGTCGTATTTATAAAAAATAATTTAAAACAAATAAAAATCTTTAAACTTTTTTTTTTTTTGATTATTTTGCTTAGTTTTATTTTCTTCTTTCTATCTTTTTGATTTAACATATTATTTTACTTTCAGTTTTGCTTTTATTATCAATATTATTTCTTATTTTTTCCTTCAAACTAATAAATAAATTATATATTTTTTCTTGGATATTTAAAAAGCGGAAATTAAATTAATGATGAAGGCGCATAAGGCCTAGGTTTTGCTTTATCAAAAATCACTAATCTCTCAAATTTGACGCTTGATCTTGGGTAAAAAACAACAATTTTTTTGTTTTACA